CCACTTCTTGGGCTTCCCCATTGTTTCTGCTCCCAGCAGCATCCAAACCCCACCCACCCTCTGGGCATCTGGGGACTTTAGCCACCACCACAAAGGACGTCCGATGTTCTCGTGCGTCCCACTCACTCACATGTATTGTGCACCTACTACGTGCCAAGCACTGCAGCTTTCACCTTCTACGTTCCCCTCCGACCTCATACTGCCTATTGACTAGTGGGAAATGTCACCTGTCTGCCCTGCCTCGCAAGGAGCCCTCGCAGACGTGGTGACCCGGCACAGGACCCCAGGTGCTCCCATGTGCCCGCGTTGCCTGTCTATAACAGTCAGGGTACGCGATTCCAGCTGTTGTAACAAACAACCCCAGCATGTACTGACTGAGCACAATGCTGGCTGATTTCTTACTCTCATGACAGTGCAGTATGGGTCGGGGGCCCTCCTGTAAGGGGTGCCTGGGGACTCTGCTCCCTCCCCCTGTGGTGCCCCAGCTCCATCGCAGGACCACACGATTGCCGAAGGGTTGGACGGGGACAGCGGGATGGCAGCTGAAGTCCAGGTCTGGAAGAGGGCCCCGTCACTTCCGTCCAAATGCCACTGGCCAGAACCCAGGCACGTAGGCCCAGCCCACCCCAGGCAGACCTAGAAGTGGGGCCTCCCCATGTACACAGCACAAGAGACCTGCTTAAATGACCGTCGGGCCTGTCTCTGTCCCGTAGTCACTGAGAGCCTCCTGAGGGCAAGGCCCACACATGCCTTCCTGTGTCTCCCTGAGCCCCCTCTGTAACTTCCGACCTGCCCACCCCCATACGGCCACACCCATCACAGCCAGGGCACTGCGTGGCCGGTCAGCACCCAGTACACGCAGCTGGTGGACAGGCCAGTGCTAGCCAGCACGGCCCGGCGGAGACGAGAACGGGGTTGGGCAGAGGGGCAGTTCCTTCTGGCTTTGAAGGACATGGTATCCCTGGGGTCTCGCACAGTGCTTGGCACACAGTAGGTGCTTAGTAAGCATTTGTTTGGATCAGACTAGACAGATGGAAAGGTGAGGGAAACAGGCCCAAGAGGTTGAAGGAGGAGATACCAGGTTTTAAAAAACAGGTCACGGAGAAGACCTGGGCCCAACCGAGACCGACAACCCTCCCAGCTTCACGAGAACTGGAAGGCAATGTCCCCTTCCCAGCCCGCGGTGGACTGAGCCGGGTGCCTCCGGACACACTCAGGCAACAAGGTTGCAGGGCGAGGTTTGATACCCAGGGTTCGGCCTCTCTGACCTTTCAGGTCCCCGTCCTGGAGCAATGGGGAGCCCTCCCTTCTGCAGTTCAGATCTTTATTTGCTGGTGCTCGCTGGGGTTAATTACTGCTGTGGTCGGGGTGGGGTGGGAAGGCACCACGCCCTGGCCCAGGGCCTACAGGGGGACCCTGAGAGTCCCCGGGGTACAGAGACCAGGAGGGCGGGTACCAGGGCTCAGGGCGGCACAGGGCAGACCAGGAGGGCAGGAACCGGGGCTTGGGGCAGCACAGGGCAGGTTAACAAGGAGCCTCCTGCCAGCAGTTCAACCATTTCTAGGCTCCAAGCTAGCTGGCGGGGCCTTTAACCCTTCCTTGTCCCTACCCATTCATGCCACCCTCAGATCATCAAAGCCCCGTGAGGCTGGCTCCATGAGGCAACTGGCATTATTCACAGGGGTGGGGCTGGCGAGCTGGGGGAGAAGTGGTCTGGCCTGTGGCCCAGACGCTGGGCAGCTGAGAGTGGGACCGGCACCCCAAGCTCCCAGGCTCTGGCAAGACAGGCCCCATCTACGGAGTCTCCGCATCAGCCTCAGCTGGGAGCCTGCCCCGCAGCCTCCCTCAGTCTTCCCAGGCTGCCAGCTGCTCTGGAGGTTCGAACCCAGGTTAGTGACAACCCCGAGAGGTGAGTCAGGGAGCCAGAGGAGTGAGGATGGGCCAGCCTGGAGCTGGGGACTCTGACGAAGCTCCATGCACTGTTGGTCTCGCCCCCTTGCAATAAGGGAAACTGAGCCCCAGAGACCTCTCCAAGTTACACGGCAAGGTAGGCCCTTGGAGACTCAAGGCTGGGGCATACACTCCCTGGTGGTGAGGTTCCCTAAGGGTCACCTGGTTCCCCCTCCCTCCGCGTCAGGCTAGCACCACAATCCAGTGTGCCTATAAGTGACCCTGGGAGGGGAGGGCGAGCCCAGTGGGGCCAGTGGCAGGGCTGGAAGAGGGGTGAGGGCTGTGATTCTTGAGCAGTGTGGAGGCAGCTGGGAACCGTGTCTATAGGAGGGCTCTGGACTCGGGCACACCCAGTTCCAGTCTTTGCTGTGTGACCTTAGGTAAGTTGCCTAACGTCTCTGAACCTTGATTTTCTGAGCGGTGCTTTGGAGTGGGGGCGAGGGGAATGCCACCTGCTGGGTGTCTGGAGAGCGCTGTGAGATAATCCTCGTTTTGTGGCTGTCCACAGGCCACCCACACGCCCATGCTCGGCAGGCAGCCTGTACTCCAGTGTCGTGTGTCCTTGAGCTGTCGTGATTACAGCGTGGTCCAATTGTCGAGATGATTTAAACGTAACATGCCTGGCTGTTGATAATTATAAATTCTTTTCATTTCTGGCAGAAAAGGGGCCCGAACATACGCATAGAGACCCCTCCCAGGTCTGCTCTGTAATTCTAAACAGGCTTCGAAGAAGTCCTGCCAGGCACAGAAAGGGGAGCTGCGGACAGACCAGCCAGTTGGGTCTCTCTGCCCCTGGCTCAGGGATGTCCAGACCTGGCCGATGCCCACAGAGTCCTCCCCCAGCCCCACTCCTGCCCACCAAGACCAGGGCGGGTCCTCCAGCTACTGTGTGCGAGGCCTGAGCTCCATGCTTCTCGTCTAGCCTCACGGGTGTCCTACAGCAGGCGTGGGGTGTAAGGGTTCCCACGTACAGACGGAAACACTGAGCTTTGGAAGGGCGAACTGGCCTTCTCAGTAAGTGACAGAGCTGTGTGTCCCAGCTGACACCCCAGCCCCGGGAGCCCACTTGGGCCCCTTGGTCCCTGGGTACACCGAAAGGTAGATGTGCCTCCACCCCACGCCTTGCCTTCTGGGCCCTCAGTCTCTCCCCTCCTCCCTCTGGGGAGCACCCTCCTCCAGAGCTGGGACTCCTAACAGGCTGTCACCCAGAGAGAGGTTGGGAAGCTTAGGGGAACCCCTGGCTCAGGGTGCGATGGGGTGTCCAGGAGTCTCTGTCTTCCAATCTGAAGGAACCAAAGCCCTAAAAATAGACACTAGGTAGGAGGAGGAGCCTAAAAATAGGGTCCAGACAAAGTGGTGGAGCCCTCTGTGAGCGTGCACACACGCACACGTGCATGCACACACGTGCACACGCCCTTCTCCCAGGAAACGCAGAGGCACCAAAGTAGAGAAAAACTAGCACAGCCACAGAGAGACACGCTCACAAGTAAACGCAGCCGGCCCGGAGAGCTCGGACCCCCACGGCACCCCACGCTCGCGCAGCGCCACAGCTGCGTTCCCTGCACATCGCCTGTGCGCGCATCGCCTGTGCGCACACACTCACTGAGGGCTAGGGTCAGGGTGCGCACGCAGGGCAGCCCGCGGTGCACCCAGTGCACCAGAACGGAGAAGGAGGTAGAGGTCCCACTGGTGCCCTCGACCTGCCCCCCAACCCAAGTCCTGCCAGCTAAGCTCCTGCTCCTAATCTGGGCACCGCCAGGCTCTGGGAAAAGGCCGAGCAGCTCCTGAACCAGGAGAGAGCCCCTGAATCAGGATGAAGGAGCCTGGGGCTGCCATGGGAAGGGCCAGTTCAAATCCCGTGGCTCTGGCACCTCAGTTCTCAGGGGCTAGGAGGAATGGCCCAGCTCGCCAAGTTCTGAGAGGCAGGGCCCTGAGGCTGTCCGGTGGGTACAGAGGGGCTAGCTACATGTGAGACCCAGCCGGCAGCATGCGGCACTGTGATGGGCGGCAGACACCCCTGCTGAGGCGCTTCCCGCCTGCCCATCTGCCTCCCCAGGGCCTCAGTCGCCACATCTATAAGAGGGACCAGCAAGGCAGGCCTTCCGCCTTGGCCACCTCACGTGACTGCTGTGAGGCTCGAGGAAGCATTCCTGAAGGGACGGCGTGATTCTGTGGGAGAGGTGGCCCGAGGCACCCGTGGTGGGGCGGGCTGCTGTTGCCCCCCAGTTGTCTGGGGTCTAGTGGAGCAAATCCTCCAGCCGCCCTGGAGCACGCGCCCTGCGGAGCTGGGAACAAGGAGGGGCGGAGGGTGGAAATCGGGCCATGCAGTCCCAGCATCACGGGGCTTTCCCGGGCTCACGGGTTCACGGTGACATGCCCCAAGGCTTTGGTGGCTCAGAATGGACTTGTCAGAAGTTTCCCCACCCAAGGCTCCAGCCTCCGTCAGGCCTAGTCATTCGTAATAAAGCCCGAGAGCTCACTGCCAGCCCTTCCCAGAGGGAGAGGGTAAGAGGCTGCAGGCCGCAGGCAGCGCTGGCGTCAGAAGACGGGGAGCCGGCTGTGCCACGGGTGATGGCCTCGCGTTCTCGTGCCCTGGCTCTCCCCTCTGCCAGACAGGCTCAGTAATCTCCTGCGGAAGTGGACTGAGATCGCGGGTGTGAGCGCCGATGTACCGCGGGGGTGAGTGCCCACCTTCGGTGGGCGTGAGAGCCGACATGCGGCAGGTGCTCATCGGTGTTTGCGGTCACCGCGAGAGCACGGTGGCGGCTGGGTCTGAGTTCCAGCCCCGCCACCTCCCAGCACTGTGTACGGGGTCGCGCCCCCCCAAACACCTCTGTGCCTCAGTCTCCTCATTTGAGAAGCACACCTAACGACATGCCTCCCTCCCAAAGCCGTGCTGGGTGCAGGCGGGTAACCCCCTGGAGCGCCCAAGGGGAGTGTTGCTCTTACATCCGGGGAAGCAAGCCCTCCCTGGGAGGGGGAGGTCTGCGCTGCCCCTACACTGCATCCGGCTCCCCTGGGCTGTCAACTGAGTCTCAAAACACCCCCACCAGGAAGGCGGCCTGTGTCTGTTTTGCAGAAGACAGGTTACACGACTCCCCAAGGTCGTAGCTGTGCAGTAGCACACCTGGGGGCTGCACCCGGGTCTTCAGACTCTGCTCCATGCAGTTCAGGCATTGCACCAAGGGCTCTCCCATGGGGCTCCCCAGAGATGGCCCCGAGTCTGCTGAGGGGAAAGGGGGCTAAGGAAGGGAGGGAGTGGGAAACAGAGATGGAGCAAGGCCCAGAGTGACTAAGGTCTAAGGAGATGAGAGATGAGAAGGAGAGACTGCCCGGGGAGCAGTGTCCAGGGAGAAACGGGAGGAAAACAAGCGGGTCCAGACACAGAGCTTCCCCTTCCCAAACAGCCCCCCGTATCCTGCCCTTGGCCCCACAACTCCTCCTGCCCTCTCTCAGTCCAGCCCCCAGGGCAGTGGGTGCTGTGGGTCACTGTGCTTGGACCTCTGACGCTGCCAGCATGCCCCAGCCCTGCCCAGCACCCAGGCACAGCCCAGCCAAGGGGACTCAAGAGCACAGACACCCCCATGCATACAGGGGTGTCTATACACCCGTAGGCACATGTGGGTGCCCCACATGCATCACCGAGGTCGGCACTCAGGTTTCAGCACGAAGGAAATCTCACCTCACACCACGGCCACTCTGTGACCCCCGCCCACGGGTAATAACGATGAGGCACTTGCTTAACAGGGTCGTGGTTTATTGTGAGGGCTAAATGTGTGTAACATTCTTCACATGGGCCGGCCGGTGGCATGGGGGTTTGGGCAGCAGGATCCCACGTGGCTGACTGTGTAGTTTGAGTCCTGGACCCGGTGGCTTAAGAAACATGCCAGGTGTGTGTGTGTGCATGTCCAAAATCCTGAGAGGACGGAAGAGAAGGGACTGCAGCCCGGCCGTTCCACGGGGGAGCGCTTTCTCTCCTCTCTCTCGGCTCTCCAGGGAGCATATGCAGCCTATAGCAAAATATGTATATATAAATACCAAAAAAATCAACGTAAGAACTTGATATCTTAGCAGCTCAGGCCCAGCCACTGTGGCACTGGCAGCTGGACACCACTGGAGCCAAGCAGGGAGTCCCAGGGTTCAGATCCTAGGTTGACCTGAACATGTCAGGGTCACCCACCCCAGTGGCTGGAGCACTGGGATTGTGGCTCGGTGGGGTGCTGTTGAGGGTCTTGCTTGTTCTCTCTCTTGTGGAAATAAGAGACAAATTTTTAAAATAAATAACTTGAAAACTTAGCCCTGGGTGCAGGAGTGGCATAAGACCCAGGCAAGGGAGGCTGGAATTTTCCTAGAACATCCCTAACCTCTCTGACACTCCATCCCTGCGTCCGTGAAGTGCGGCTGAAACATACCCTCACCTGCCTACCTCACGGGGGCAGAGGAAAGCCTTTAATAAACTCGAGGTTGGCATTCAGGGGGCAGCTCCCCCTCCAGGAGACCACCAGTGCTTGAGCACCCCAGGAACAGCGGTGCCCTCCTGGGGGCCCTCAGACTAGATGAACCACGGTTGACTGGCTGGGCCGCCAGCGCCCCCTGCTGGTCAGATAAGGAGGGCTCCCGGCGAGGTCTCCACAGCCAGGGTGATGCTGAGCTGGGCCCACCCTCATGTGGGAGTCAGGAGAGCAGGACCACTCCAGGGGCTGCCTAGACCTTGCCTCCCGGGCGGTTGGCTGACCACAGCACAGGGTACCCCACGGGCCAGTCCCAGGTGACAGTAACCGTGTACTAGTACCGGGTAGTGTGCTCAGCGCTTTTCCCTCAGGGTCATCCTGCCCTCTGGACACTGTGGGGTTCCCACCCTATCGTCACAGACGCAGGCTGGACAAGCTCCTCACGGCTGCCCTGAGTCCCACGCTTCCTTTACAACCGGGTTGTCTCGGAGGTGACACGGGCCACCGTGCAGGGACAGGCGTGCCACACCATCTGGGACTGGTCATACGGGACACGAGGCAGCACGTGGGAGGCCTTCAGAGACCGAGTGCTGCTCTGCCCTCCTGGCCAGCCCCTGCCCCTCTGGGCCTCGGTTGCCTCATCTGTAAAATGAGCGGGTTGGGCCACTTACGGGAGGCCCTTCCTGCCTGACTCACTCCAGCACCCCACCTTGGTCACGTGGAAGACGTGTTGATTCACAGCCATCCGGCTGAAGCATCCTGGCCTCGGCCCCCTGGATTTCCTACAACTCTTGGGCCCCCAGAAGTATGTGCAAAACGGCACACGTGTGGGTACATGCCCAGTGTGCACTTTTCCAGGAAAAGCATCCACAAAATTGCCAGATTCCAATCCCCAAAGGCTCACAGCGTTTGATTATCCTTAACTTTGAGCATTTCCCTAACAGTGGTCTATATTTTCAGGGGAATGAGTGAAGAAAGTGGAGTCCCACTGTGTAACATTCTTCCCTTTGTGTTTCGTCCCTCAGGAGCTGCACCTGTTCCTGACAACCCAGCCCTCCACCCTCAAGCCTCCTTGGCCCAGAGAGGCCCCCACCCCTCTTGCTTCTGACTCGTCTCCGCCGGGGCGCTGAAGCTCTGATCCGCTGCCTTGTCACTGCAAGTCTCCCTCACCCCCATGTCTTCCCCTGGAGCGGCGTGGCGAGGACTGGCCCGGCTTCGGTGAGGTAGGTGCAGTGACCAGTGAGCCCAGCGGGGACTCCCGGGTTGATGCTCCCAGAGGGCCGTGGTTGGGAAGACCAGGCCCTGTTGGCCCCCATGGCTGGCTGGCTGTGAGGACGGCATGGCCGCAGTTGGGAGGCCTATGTTCTGGGTCTGGCCCTTCCCTCCTGCGGGCCTCCGTTGTCCCATCTGTAAAGTGGAGGGAGGTGTCCTAGAAGCCCTGGATGACTGCCAGGCAGCCTTCCTGTACTAACGCCTACGGGCCTTTCTGACTGATGCTGGGGGACACGATGGCCTTGGACTCCTCTTGGCAGAAGCAACTGGCTCAGCATCCCTCAGGCATGGAACAAGATGACCCTGGGGCCTTTCCCGGACTTGACCAAGGAAACAGCCCCCCAGGCTTAAGGAGGAGCCTTGCCCCTGGGGAAAAAGGAGGGCTCCAAATCAGCCTGCCCCCAAAATGCCTGGGATGGGGAGGGAGATGGGGGCTAGCCAAGGGGGAGGGCCCAGAGCCCAGTGATGGGTGACCACCTCCTGAGGTTTGGCCCTGCCCATCTCTGGAGGAGCGGGACCTGGTGAAGGGAGAGAAGCAACCTCCCGCCCTCAGCCAATGCAGGCCTGGAGCCTGGCCCCCCTCCTCCCCCGGCTGATGAGGGACTCCCAGTTCTCTTACCCCCTCCTTCCATTGGCTCCTAGTTCTGGGCCCAGCTAGCACTGCAGGGCCAAGGCCCCAGGGCACGATCCCTGCAGGGGTACCCTATGGGCTGGGGGCTCGAGGACCCCTTCCAAGGGGTAGGTCCCAGTCCTCACAGACACAGAGAACCTCCCACACACGCCCTCCCGCCCATGAATGAGTGAGGACAAGACAGAGGCATGACAGCGAGGCTGAACATTCTCTACAAAAGTTACAATGCGCCTGAGGGAGGTTGGTCGTCCAGCCCGCCACCCCGGCACAGGGAGAACAGGGAGGGGACTGGGACAGAGGACGGGAGCAAGATGAAAAGGACAGTACCTGGGGCTCCGAGAAACAAGAATCGGCACTTGGGGTGGCCCCAGGCTCAGGCCAGAGAACAGGGAGAAGGGCTGGGGTGGGCGCAGAGTGGCCGTGGCAGGCAGCCAGACCCGCGAGAAACAAGAGTCGGCACTTGGGGTGTCCCCAGGCTCAGGCCAGAGAACAGGGAGAAGGGCTGGGGTGGGCGCAGAGTGGCCGTGGCAGGCAGCCAGACCCGCCCTGTCCTGCAGTTGGGAGAGGGGCACCTGGTCATTTCCCAGCCCTGGGCACGTGTGGATGGGTCCACGCGACAGACTAGAGAGGGGACTTTGGGGACTCTGTCCCCTGCCCCTGTAAGAAGGCCCAGGGCGGGGCCACGGCTGGTGACCATGTTGCCATCGGGGGGTCCACAGCTGATGGAGGCACGTCTGTGTGGGGCGTGAACGCGGGCACGTGTGTGTGAGCCCTCCAAGAGACTCCCCCACATCTGTGATCTCAGTGTGGCTGGAGAGGACACATGTCTGAGGACCCTCCAGGCTGGCCCTTCCTCTGGCCTCACCACACAACAGAGCTGGGACACAAGGTCGCTCACTTACCCGTGACCGTGCAGGATCACACAGCAGCCCAGCCCTCCAGGCCTCAAGGGAAACCCCAACCAGCCCCTAACACGTGCACACATTCATGTACATACACACGCACACACACACTCGCGAAGCACTGGGGGCAATCCCGTTTAGACCATCCACACCTTCCAGCGTCCACACCACAGGACTTACCCACACTAGGTCCAGCCCCAGCCTGCTCAGCCTGCCTGTCTCTGGTCTGGGAGGCTGAGGCAGGTGGCAGAAGCCTTTCCTACCCAGCCTGTGCCTGCCAGGCCTGGGCCATAACACTGCAGCTCGAGCACCTGGTACCTGGTACCCTGACCCCTGGGGTCCCCGGGGCGGGCCAGGCTGCACAGTGGAGGAGGGGGGAGGCTGGAGGAAGACAGGCTGGGCTCTGCCCCAGGGAAAGCTGGGAAGGGCCGGTCACCCTCATCCCTCACCAGCCTGGCTGTCCAGCTCCGGACCATGCCAGCAGGTGCAGGAGGAAGGGCCTGGCTGTGCTTGGGGATGGGGTGGGGATGAGGTACGGGGGAATTTGGCTGGAGAGTCTGGCCTGAAAACTTCCCCTCTGGGTGTCATGGGGAGAGGGGAGGCAGCCCGAACTCTCCCTTTCACAAAAATGTAGGCGTGAGCAAGTCTCCAGCCTGAGCACGAGGGAACAGGACCCTCTGCGGACAGTGGTACCCCGACCCCATGCATACCCTCCCAGCCCGCCCTAATGCCCCTGCCCTCCCACTTGGCCTTCCACAAGTCCTCATGTCCTTTAGGCGGGGGTGCTCAGGGTCTTCGGGACCTTCAGAACTGGAGTTCTGGGGCATTCTCTTGTCACCCTGGGTGTCTCCAGGCCACATGCTCTGCTTTTGGGTGTGCACAGCTTTCTTTACTCCTGGGGAAGGGGCTGCAGGGCTGGCAACTGTGAGGACCTCATGGCCCCACCGTAGGTTGTGGCAACTTGCAATTCATTTTGGTCTGGGGAGAAGAGCCCCCGGTTATCTGCAGAGGAAGAGATAGAGACAGACTTCAGACGGCAGGCGGCCTTCAAAGGCACCACGCTCAACCAGGACTAGTCATGTGACAACTTAGCCTCCTCCTCTCCAGGCGGACTGATGGCCAAGGAATCTCCCAATTCCCCAAACTCCAAATCAAACCACCTCCCCACACCCACACCCACCCCTGCCACTCGGAAACCAAAGCGGGGACAGGAGCCAGCCAACAGCCCGGCAGTGGGGCAGAACCTAGGACTAGCCGGTGGCTTTACAAACATGGCGATTCTGCCTCCAAGGTTGCTGTCGCCCTGCTGGGGAGCATTTGCTCATGTTCCTGCTCGAGGGGTCCAGGGATAAGAGGTGAAACAGCTGCCTCAGGGTTTGGGCAATCGAGGAGACCTTCCTGCTGCCACACCCTCCAGCCCATGGGAGTCACCTTGTCCCCAGGCTCGAGAGCTGCCAAGACCAGGGCTCAGGCACAACTCCACAGGGAGCGGCAGCAGGACCATGGCTGGGCTATCCTAACCCCGGGGCCCCCACTTGCTCCTCTGCTGGAAAATGGAGGAGAGACAGTCCACCGTATACAGGGGTTCGAGAGGATTAAACGAGAGGATCTGCTTAAGGGCACACCGAGTACCGGGGAGATAGGGGGCTCAAACACCGTCTCTCCTCCACACTAAGACACCCCATTTTTCCACACACTGGTATCTCCAGAATCGGGGTGCACTTCACATGAGCTGTGATAAGTAAGCCTGCAGCCATCATTAAACTGGTAGCTGCTTTTTCTCTCGTTGCTGGTAAACAGAAGAGTGGGTCCCTTGTCATTCACAGTGGCTTCAGTTTTATGAAATCTGGTTTTCTGAGACCAGCAGTTAGCGCAATGGTTATGTCGCTGGACTCCCATGTAGTCGACCGTGGTTCGAGTCCCGAACCTGGAGGCTTAAACTCATGCCGGGCGCGTGTGCGTGCGTGCCCAAGATCCAGAGAGGAGAATGGAGGAGAAGGGATTGCGGCGTGGCCATCCCCCCTGGGGGGATGGTTTCTCGCTTTCTGTCTCTCTGTCTCTCTCTGTCTGTCTGGTGAGCACACGCACCCTATAGCGAAAACTTCTCCAAAGGGAAAAAAAAGGCAGATCAGCCCTTCCCAGGGGCTTCCCAGCCCACATACCCTACCCACACCACCCCCAGGCAGGGCACTCACAACTCTGTGTCTTCCAGGGCCGGTGGCCGCTCCAGCGCCTGCCTCCGCCTCCGGATGGCCCCCATGATCTTCTTTCGGGGCCCCAGGGGGACGCTGATGCTGCGGAGGTCCAGGTCGGAGCACAGCATCAGCGCCTCCAGGTCGATCTTCTCCTGCCGCAGGAGGGAGGCAAAGTCCTCCATGTGCAGGGAGGCCAGGAAGGTCTCCAGCGGGCTGGTTTCAGGCTCCAGGTCCTCGTCCAGGCCCAAGTCCAGCTCATCCCAGGGCAGCTCCTCCCCGCAGCTGCGCTCCTGCAGGCTGTTGGCACTGCCCAGGCTGTCGTCGTCCAGGCTGGGGGAGCTCTGCAGCCGCCCCCGCGGCGTGCCGGCCCCGTCTAGCCCAGCATCCTCGCGGCCCAGCCCATGCAGCCCGCTGCTCAGGTAGTTCCTGCGGAACACCATGGTGCCCAGCCCAGGGCGGGTAAACAGGGAGTCGTGGCCTGAGTCGGTGCTGACCTCCGAGTGGGCAGGCTCGGCCGCCAGCGTGGCACGGGAGACGCTGTCCTCGTCGGAGAGGAACATGTCCCTGAGCGGGGCGCGGCCCCACTCCTTGGGGTTGGCGTAGGTGCCCTGGCGCACGAACATCACGTCGCTGCCCAGCTGCAGGCCCGAGAGCGAGCGGACGCTCTTGCGGCCATCCTCCGAGACCTTGAAGGTGCCTTCGCCGCCCTGCTTGCGCCGCTCTAGTTTCTTCTGGATCTTGGTCTTGCCCCTGGAGGTGCCGTGCAGCGTGGCCTGCGAGTAGGGCAGGTGGCTGCCCAGCGCCAGGTGCTGCAGCCGGCGGCTCAGCGTGCTGGACGTGAGGCTGGAGAAGCTGAGCGAGTCGGAGCGCTCCGCCAGCTCGCGCCGGTAGCGCCGCTCCATGCGCTCGTGGTGTTTGCGCTGCATCTTGGCGCACTCGCGGATGCGCCGCTCTGCCTCACGGAAGGCCTTGTCCTTCAGCTTGCTCACCAGCTTGGGGTTGAGGCTGCTCTGCTTGGCCGCGATGGAGTCCAGGTAGCGCACGCACTCCATGTGGCCCTTCATGGCGCCCATGTCCAGCGGCGTGTGGTAGTCGTTGTCCAGGCACCAGATGTTGGCCCCGAAGGACACCAGGAAGGACAGGCAGTGCAGGTGGCCATTAGAAGCTGCCAGATGCAGGGGCGTGTTGCCCCAGATGTCGCACTTGTCTGGGTCACCCCTGCAGGGAGAGCAGGCAGGGAGGATGAGCACAGCAAGCTGGGCAGGCAGGCGAGGGCAGGAAGGGAAGGGGAGGGCCTCCAGCCTCACTGAGCCACTGACAGGCAGGCCCAGCCCAGAGGGACCCACAGACCTGCGACCACTGATTCCAGGAGACCCACAGGCCTGAGCTAAGGCAAAAATGGCTTCTGGCATGCAGTGGGTGGGGCCACAGGGAAGGCGGGGCCAGGGCGGGGCCTTCCCCAAGATAACAGAGGGCTGGGAATCTTAGGGGATAAATATTTGATGCCCAGAGAGAACGGAGTGAATTATTCATGTGCCCTGCCGGGAGCTGGCCCAGAGAGGTGGTGGGCCAGGGCTGAGTCCGGGTCTCTAGGCAGGCACGGTGGTGAGCAGGCTGTGGGGTGCAGAGTGGCCATACAGGAGGACAAGAGGGTGGTGTGCGCTGGGCCCCAGCCCTGGGTGAGTGTGCGGTGAGTGTGCGTGGGGGTGCGTGTTTGCGTGTCTGCGGGCACGGCCATGTCTGCAGGGAGCAGGGCCAGGCCTGGCAAGCCTGAGTGTGAGAGCAGGTGTCGGGTCTTGGCCTGGGCCTGGAGGGGAGCGTGGGGGCAGCCAGGACCGGAAGGGAGGGGAGGGAGGCAGCTGCCCTGGCCTGCCCCTTCCCAGGCTGCCTGGCCCCTCAAACACTGTCCACACCAGACCATGCCCTTTGGGGAGGCTCCTGCCAGATCCATGGAGTGCCCGCCCCCCTGGGGCCCTGGCACGGACCCTGCCCCACACTAATGAGGACACCGGGAAGAAAGCTCCCTTGTCTCAACAGCTCTGCACACATCCCCCTTGGCTGCCCGGCTGGTGCATTGGACCAGCCAGACAATGTGGGAGGGGCGGCCTGAAGTCCGGGCCCCACCCCATCATCACCAATCCTTGTTTTGTAGAGGAGCTGGGGGGGTGCGCCAAGGGGGGCTCCTAGTTCCCTCCTCCCATGATCTCTCTGAAAGAGGCAAGGGACAGCGTCCCTGTGTGCCCCCTCCCGGGGTGGGGAGGAGCCGAGGAGCTGATCCTCTCAGCCTCTTGGACTCTGTCTCTGCCTCCTGGTTTTAGGGGCTGCCCCTACCTGCTGCTGGGCCCTCGGCATGGAGAGAGGGCAGGGGGGTCCACACCCCCCACCTCCTAAGGCACAGACAGGCTGGCACCAGGGCCAGCTCAACCCCTTCCCCTCCCTACCAGGACCTGAGCCCACTTCCACCCCTTCCCTGTCTACACTGGCCTGGTGTCCAGGCCACCCTGACCTGTCTCTGTTAACCTAAGGGGGTGAGGGGCTTGTTCACAATTGTGTGGGTTAGCCCCGAGAAACCCACTTCGGTGCCTGGACCCTGCGTTCCCCACCTGCCACCTCAGACCACAGCCCAACGTGCACACCTGGATTCCATGCCCACTCCTCCCAGGACGATTCCAGAAGCCCCAGTGAGCACCTCAGCCTGAACTGCTTAGCTGTGCCGGCAGTGGGGGAGGGGCGCGGGGTGAATTCACAGTGGCGAACCAGTGACATTTGGTACTTCTGCGGTGCCCATAAATCTCAGGGCGAGCAGGGTGCAGAAGAGAGCAACATGGGGCCCCCTGTGGGAGGCTGGTGCCACATCTGAGACTTCAGGTGGGAGCAGAGGCCCCATCCTTTCCTGGCTCTCCTACCAACCGCCTACAAGAGACTTGTCCACCTCTTGGGGTTCTCACTATGGCCCTCACTCTTGCTTCCAGGTGGCCCCTCACCCGAGATCTCTCCTACCTTCCCCTTCCTCTGCAGCACCCCCTCCAAACCATGGACCCCCCAATTCCCAGTTCATCCCTCCAGGCCACACAGCCGGGTCACAATGTTCACGTGTCTCAGCGTGTTTCCCTCCCACATTTCCCCCACCCCACCCCAAGAACGCCAGGCTCCAAGGTCCCACCCGAGGGTCTGTGGGTCGGGGATGGGGCATCTCAGGGAGGGGTGAAGAAGGTCCCATGGAGTCTGGGGGGCTGAGGGAGGCCCCTGCTGGCCCCTGCAGGCCCCGGGGAGGTGCTCACCCACGGCTGACGATGAGGCGCAAGGACTCCAGGTTGCCGTGGTAGGCAGCCCAGAGGGTGGGGGTCATGCCATCCTCGTCGGGGGCGTTCAGCTCCTTCCGGGTGGCCTCCTTGAGGAGCTCCAGGTAGCCATCCCGGGCCGCCCGGTGATACTGGTCGTTCATGGCGCCCGACTTGGACGGGGCAGGCAGGGGGCACGGGGAAATGCCCCCCGCAGGAGAGGGCCGCGGGGTTAGGGCTGAGGCATGGGGTTGGGGAAGGGGGCCGGGCAGGGGCAGGAGCCGGGGCAGCCAGCCCCCGCGGCCGCAGACGGAGGGTGCGGAGCCTTAGAGCCACGGCTACTGGGACATCTGAGCCGCTCACCCAGCGCTGGGTGGGGGGAGGATCTCTCGCTGCCCAGGGAGCCACCCCCAGGCTTCTCCTGGGTCCTAAGCACACTGCTCCTCCCCTCAGAGCACAGTGGTGAAGCTCTGCGCTTTCCCCAAAAGTGCTCACCGCTGCGCCCTGCACCGTGAGGCCCAGTCCGGGGACAGTGCGGGGTCCGTCCTCACCACCGGCCCCAGCGCTTAAATTCCTGAAATCTCCATGCGCCAGAGGACCGGGCCAAGGGCTGGGGAGGGGCGTCTGAGAGCGGGAGGGAGTAGTCCTGGACCCCAGGACAGGGGACCTACAAGGGAACGAGGACCCACCGCAAGGCGCGAGCAGGACCCGGCAGTCCCAGCGCGGGCCGGTCACGCGGGGTCGACCCGCCGCGCTCCGGCAGGGGGCGCTAGAGGACTGGGCGCGGACGCCGCGCGCCGCGTGGGAACTTCGTCCCGACCCCCAGACTTCGCGGCATCCAGCCGAGCAGGGGACAAGCGGGAGGGATAGAAGAAAGAACTTCGACCACTGCGAAGGTCGTCGGGGAAAGGGGCACTGGGGGCCTGGTTTCGGGACAGCGGAGAGGAGCACAGAGGTACAGGGCGCGCCGGGGCTGGGAGGGCGTCGGGTGCCCGCGGGCCTCGCGCGTCATCCCCGGGAACTCTGGGCAACCCGGATCGCTGCGCGCCAGGGCGCGGTGGGCACCGAGGCCGAGGTGCCCTCTAGGTGCCGCAGTGCGGGACCCCACCCGAGCCTGGCCGCGCCGGGGTCACGGGGAGAGGTAAGTATAAATCTCACCTTATCAGGCTGCCCCGTGCTCTTCCCTAAATTCAGCTCGAAGGAAAGATGGATCATGTGAGTGGGACTGAGAGGTTTATGGAGCCGAGCTCCCGCGGCTGTAAATCATCCTGCCCTCCCGGGTATAAAGCGACCGTCCTGCCCGGCGTCGGGGAGAGGACTCGCTCGCCACCCCCTGACCCCCGGCTCAGCACTGGCTCCCGGCCTAGCCAGGTGGGTGCCCCGGGCCAGTCGGCTGCCGGATTTAGGAAATGGGGACCTTGGCCGGGGCCGACCGGGTGCCGCCAGTTCTTTCTTTCCCGTCGCGCGGGAGAGGCAGACTCCGGTTTCTCTCCGGGTTCCCCAGCGCTTCCTCCGGCAACGCCTCCCCTCCGCGTTAGGAACTCGCCGGTCCCCGAATCTAGGGGTAAGATGGAGAAAGGCGAGCCCTGGGGGTGACCTGGGGTCCTCGCGCTCCTCCCCCGCAGTGAGCGCCTCCAGCCTACTCCAGTCGCCCCCGCCATGTCCGAGGAGCTGGCCCCGGGCCCCAACGAGAGCCCGCCGGCACCGCGGGCGGGCCCCCGCGAGGTGTGGAAGAAGGGCGGCCGCCTGCTGTCGGTGCTGCTGGCCGTGAACATGCTGCTCCTGGCCTGCACGCTCATCAGCGGCGGCGCCTTCAACAAGGTGGCGGTGTACGACACCGACGTGTTCGCGCTGCTCACCACCATGATGCTGCTCGCGGCGCTCTGGATCCTCTTCTACCTGCTGCGCACCGCGCGGTGCCCCGACGCCATCCCCTACCGCGACGCGCACGCCGGCCCCATCTGGCTCCGAGGTGCCCGGGGAGGAGCTGCAGAGTGCAATGGGGAAGGCTCCTCGGGAGGGCTGGGTGTGGCTGCGCTGGGTGAGGTGGGCTGCGCTAGGAGAGGAGGAGGGAAAAGGGTCCTGGAGGGGTGGAGGGGAGCGTCCTTGTCCGAAGATTGGAGACCGGTGGTGCTGGGAGAGCTTTGACGGACAACCGCTGAAAGACGTGGCTGGGGCCCTTCCCCTTATCTCTGCTACGACGCCCACCGGCTTTCTCATACCCTTTATCCTGCGTCGCCCTCATCAGTCTTTTATCCATCCTGGCCTTCATCCAGCCAGCCACCCAGCCCCCCGCCGGTCCGCAGGACCTGTCCTCAGCCTTCTCTCCTGTCCCTGGTCCCCACCCACGACTGCAGGAGGGCTCGTGCTGTTCGGGACCTGCACCCTCGTCATGGACGTCTTCAAGACTGGCTACTACTCCAGTTTCTATGAGTGCCAATCGGCCATCAAGATCCTGCACCCCCTCATCCAGGCTGTGTTTGTCATTGTCCAGGTGGGTGGCAGGGGTCAGGAGATCTGGGCGTGAGCTCCCCTCCACCCCAGCAACTCAGCCAAGTGGGGATGGGGCCGTGGTGGAGGGCGTGGAGTCCATGACCACGGAAGCCCTTGGCTACGAAGTGATATCCGAATGGGAGCTGCTCCTTAGGGACTCTGCGGTTTGATGTCAACCTGAGCAGTGCCACCAGTTAGCACTGGGAGGTATGACTTGTGGCAGCAGGCCCTGTCTCTGGAACCTGGCCTGCCCCCACGGTGCCACAGTCTCAGCCCAGGGGCCTGCCATGGCTATGGCCTCTTTGGCCTCACCCACGGCCCCCGTTCCGTATTTGTTCAGAGGGAGGGTTTTCTGTAACTGGAAATTTCCAGGTGCAGATTTTTGTAATTGGTCACATAAACAACACTTTGAAAGGTCTTCTGGCTGAGCTGAGGCAGGACAGGCTGACAGGACCCAGAGCAGACTCTAGCCCTGCCTCATGACCAGGGTGGTCACACGGGGGGCACCCGACCCTGCAGCCCTTTTCCACACCTCAGCGTGTATGTGGCTTTGGCATGTGCACAGCTTCTTTCGTGTTTAGGTTTTGCCATAGGGTAGCTGTGCTTGCCAGAGAGAGACACCGGGGGTAGGGGGATGGCCACATTGCAGTCCCTTGTCTGTTCTCCTCCTGGGATCTTGGGCACGCATGCACATGCACCTGCACCTGGTGTGATTTTCAAGTTGCCAGGTCTTGGGCTCCAATGGCAGTTGGTCATGTGGGAGTCCAGCGCCCTAACCACCACGCCACCTGCTGACCCCAACACGCACACAGTTTTAGTCTTTTACAGTTGATGGATTTGAAAAATGTTCAGGTAAAATGAAAATGGAAACAATCCCTCATCAGCAAATGCCACAGCAAGGACTCATTGACAGCTGAGAGCAAGACTCTCGTCAGGTGGGGCAGGTGGCAGGGAGAGTGACAGAGGAACGATGGGCAAGACCTGGCCTAGGCTGGACTTGCTCCCAAAATAAAACTAGGTAGTCAAAGTCTATCTGACCCCCCCAAAAAAAAGTCCCAGAGAATTTCAAGGTAACATTTTACAAACCTTTAAAGAACAGAGAACCACTTTTTTAAAAAGAGATTTTTGCTGTAGGGCACGTGTGCTCACCAGAGAGACAGAAAGCTAGAAATCACCCCCTGGGGGAGATGGCCACACCATAACCCCTTCTCCTCTTGGGATTTTTGGGCATGCATGCACACCCCTCTGCCATGAGTTTCAAGCCGTCAGCTATGGGACTGAGATCGTGGTCGGCCACATGGGAGTCTAGCACTGTAACCACTACGCCACCTGCTGGCCCCAGAGAACCACTGTTTGGGACCAGTGGACGGCGTAATGGTTACGTCACTGGACTCCCACATATTCAATCATAGTTCAAGTCCCAGGTCTGGTGACTTAAACTCACACCAGGTGTATGTGCATGCGTGCCCAAGAGGTGAAGGGAGGTGAAGAGATTGCGGCATGTCCATCCCTTCTGGGGGGTGACTTCTCACTTTCTGTCTGTCTGTCTTTCCGACAAGTGCACGTGCCCTATGGCAAAAGTCTAAGAAAAAAAAAAGAAAGAAAGAAAAGAGAGAAGCACTGTTTTATACCAACCGTGCACCGTAGGCTGGAAAGAAGGCTCCCCGTCTCACTGTGGTTAGCTAGCATAAATCTTACGGTATAGTAAAAGGCTCTTGGGGTCGAGAGACCGTAACACCGGGCGTGGACACTGGCGCTCCGGAATTTAACCACCTTCCTAGTAAACGCTCCCCACCGCTCTCTCAATACAGACGTACTTCCTCTGGGTCTCCGCTAAAGACTGTATCCACGTGCACCTGGATCTGACCCGGTGAGAACGCGCTCAGCGTGGTGCCTGGCCCGGCCCCCTCATGAGACCAGGGCTTTCCAACCTGGGGCCGGAGTCCTCTGTCTTCTTTCTGGGTGGGGCGTCAGCCAAGGTGCCCTGACCATGTCAGTCCCACTCCACTCCCTGTGCTGTACCCTTCCCTCTAGGAGAGGAGGCAGTGGCGGCCTGAGCCCCAGGACACCCCCAGCCCTCTCTTGGGCGACTTCCTGATTGGGCTAACTCCTCCCAAGCTCAGCTCCCCTGTTCACGCCAGACCTGGCTGCCTCATCTCAACACCTTCTCCCAGAACAGCGCCCCAACCTTCTGCCTTGCCGTGGACCCAGGATGGGCCAAAGACCCAGTGGCCTCTTGGCTTCCTGCCCTGCCCCTAACAGGTGCGGGTTGATGTTCACGCTCACCACCAACCTGGCCATCTGGATGGCGGCCGTGGTGGACGAGTCTGTGCACCAGGCCCATGCCTACAGCAGCTCCCACAGCAACGCCAGCCACACCATCCTCGCCCCTGACCGTGAGTCCCCTCTTCGGCCTGGTCCCGCCGCTGCCCAGCTAGGGTGGGTGCTCTGTGGGTTTGTGGAGTCAGTCTCCTGTGCTGCCAGGAGGGCGTGGAGGTAAAGACGGAGGCCCGGGCTCCTCCTGCTCCAGGCTCTGCCTTTGACCTCTGGGTGTAGATGACCCAGGAGGAGGCGTGTCAGGGGCATCTTCTCGTCCTTGAGGCACAACCTTGGCCCCACTGTCCAGGTGTCCATCCCAGCAAGAAGAAACCCAAACTCTGGGAAGGAAGGGCGAGAGTGACCAAGCCAGGGGAGGGGAAGGGCGGGGCCTGGTGAGAGCCTGGGAGGACAGGAAGGTGAGAGTAGTCCCCAGTCACGAGGACAGCGGGGCCAGTCGACTGAGCTCCCTGCGCGCCCTCAGCTACTGACACGAGCGTCCTAGTCAGTGCTCGCCACTTCCCTGCGGGATGTGGCAGGGAGTTTGTCTGTCGGGGGGCTCCCGAGAAGGCCACCTTTCTTTTCTAAAATTATGTATTTATTTTATTAGTTGTAGTAGTATTCAATTTGAGTCGAGAGAGAGAGATGGGGATTGGGAAAGTAAGCCGCCAGGTTCGGGTCTCGAACTGCAGTTGGCCACAAGGGAGTTCAGCGCCGTAATCTCCGTGCCACCTGCTGGCCCTGAAGGCCACCGTCTAAGAGCTCCTCTGTCTCTGAGGGCCGGGGCCGTCACTGGGGAGAGGGTGTAAGGAATGGAAATCAGCGGCAGTACTGCGGTCACATTTTTTCTTATTGCCAGAGGGCACCTCCTCTCTCCAGAGACACACAGAGAGAGGGAGAGGGAGGGGGCAAGCACCCCCAGTGGGGATGCTCATGTTGCAGTCTCGTCTCCAATTCTCCACCCCCTTGGGATTTGGGACACGCACACACTTGTGCCGGGTATGTTTGGAAACCTCCGAGGCCGGGATTTGAGCCGTGTGTTTGGCCGTGTGGGATCTGGCTCCCTTAACTGGGCTATGGAGATGGCCGTCCGTTTTTTGGTTTTGTTTTGTTTAAACTGAGTGCTGACAGGTTCCACTGTCTCTGGCACATAGTAGGTGCTCAGTAAATATCTATGGGATGAACGGACACGCCTGACCCTCGGAGGGCGTTCGGGATGTAGTTGTGAAAGTAGCAGACAGAAACCCCGTTCTTACAAAGGTCTCGGGCTGGGGGGCCGTTCCCCGGGAGGACGGGAGGGCGGCCCAGCCTCGGGTCCCTCTCTCCACAGCGGAGCGAGCCGGCAGCCTGGCGGCGGGAGACTCCTGCCTCTGCAACACGGCCCTCTGCCAGATCTTCCAGCAGGGGTACTTCTACCTGTACCCCTTCAACATCGAGTACAGCCTCTTTGCCTCCACCATGCTCTACGTCATGTGGAAGAACGTGGGCAGGCTGCTGGCCTCCGCCCACAGCCACGGCCACAGCCCAGCCCGGCTCAGCCTCTTCCGGGAGACCTTCTTTGCCGGCCCGGTCCTGGGCCTGATGCTGTTTGTGGTGGGGTTGGCCGTCTTCATCATCTACGAGGTGCAAGTGAGCGGGGAGGGGGGCCGCACGCGCCAGGCCCTGGTCCTCTACTACAGCTTCAACATCGTCTGCCTGGGGCTCATGACCCTGGTCAGCTTGAGCGGCTCCGTCATCTACCGCTTTGACCGCCGGGCCATGGACCACCATAAGAACCCCACGCGCACCCTGGACGTGGCCCTGCTGATGGGGGCTGCCCTGGGCCAGTACGCCATCTCCTACTACTCCATCGTGGCCGTGGTGGTGGGCACGCCCAGGGACCTGCTGGGGGCACTCGACCTCGCCCACGCTCTGCTCATGATTGCCCAGCACACCTTCCAGAACGTGTTCATCATCGAGAGCCTCCACCGAGGCCCGCCTGGGGCCGAGGCCCCTGCTGCTCCCCCCAAGGAGCCCTGCCAGGGCCTCACCTTTGCCAACATGGATGCCCTCCACACCTTGCCCGCCTGCCCACCCACCCCCAGGCTGGTCGACCCCAGCCCGGCAGGCTCTCGGGAAGCAGTGGCCATCATCTTGGCCCCCAGGGGCCACTGGAGACGCCGGTGCCTGAAAGACATCTCTCTGTTCCTACTGCTCTGCAATGTCATCGTGAGTAGCTTGGGGGGGGTGGTGCTCTTACGGGTTCATCCCTTCAGCCTTCTCTGCCTCACCCCCAGCCCACAGGAGGCCCTCACAGCCTTCCAGGAAAGGAGGGGGCTCAGAGAGGGTCCCCTGCAGTCTCTGGGCAAACAGCATCTCAGGGCACTCAGAGAGTCCCAGCCACCAGACTTCGAGGCAGTGGAGGGAGTTGGAGGGCTCCGGGGTGCCGGCGCCGGCACGGGGGCTGGAGGCAGAGGGAGCTGAGGGCTGATGTGGGAGGGCCCCCCCGCCCGGTGGGAAGTGTGACCGCTCCTGGGAACTTGTGACCTGCCTGCTTCTCAGAGAAACTGGAGCAGCAGCAGGAAGTAGCGGAGGCCAGCGTAAGTGTGAGTCTGTTAACGCGCAGCGGCACCCTCGGGGAAGGGGCATCTGTGACAGCCGCCCCCTCCCCGTGACTCAGCAAAGCCTACTGCTAAGAGCAGCAGATGTCGGTGGGCATAGTATTGTCGCTGTGTGGAGACACCCCAGGGCAGGGACACCTGTGACGATGGTGCCCGCGACAGAGAAGCGTCCTGATGTGGACGTGTCCTGGTGGGGAGATAGCCCCCAGCTGGAACATCTCGGCTGTGGGAACACCCGCGTGGGCCCATCCCAGGAGAGAAAGAGCTCTCCAAGGAAGCTTCTCGTACTATATCAGGCCGTCGGAAAAGCCCAGATGTATTTTTATGGTTTACTATGCAAAAACAGGTCATGACATTTCTGATGATCTGAGGGGACAGTCCTTTCAGCTACGGCCTCCGGTACAAAAACATGCCCGGCACAGAGACATCCTCAATGCGGGTCTATCCCAATCTAGAACACCCCCGCAGAGTGAACCCGACCCCGTGAAGTTATGCCTTCATAAAATCCCTAGTGGAGGTGTCACACCCCCCCCTTTTTATTAAGAGAGATTTTCGCTATATGGAAAAAGTGAGAAATCACCCCCACACACACAGGGGTGATGGCCACAGCTCAATCCCCTCCCTTCGGTTCTCCTCTTGGAATCTTGAGTGTGCACGTACACGCGCCCTGTGTGAGTTTCAAGCTGCCCAGTCTAGCACGCGAACCGCGGTTGGCCATGTGGGAGTCCAGCACCCTAGTCACTACTGGGCCTGGAGGTACCTTCTTAGCAAAGTCCCACTGGGAATACTGCACACCCTACAGGTAACCTTCGGTGCCGTCTGGGTCCCCACAGGGAGTGGGAGGAGCCTTCCAACAAAGGCAATTTCGTTTCAAAGAGAAAAAAGTGTGGTCACCCATCACGACCCCACCAGTAGAAGCGATAAGATGTAAGGCTCAGACCTCACCAAGTCTTAGGCCAGCTTTGGTGCCCACCCCCACCCAGACCTCCCTCTTCCACCCAGGCCTCTTTCACGGGCTGGGAGTGATTCTGGCCTTCTGGGAGGCTGTTCCTGCTCAGGGTGTCAGAGCCTTCGTCACAGCCTCGCCTCCCCCATCTCTTCCGTTTAAAGGACAGAGATAGGCGGAGTGCGGGGGGGGG